GTTGGTCAGAGTAGGTCCTGCTTGAGCTGAAGTCAGTCAGAATTTTGGTTTTATTTCTACTCGTAATGACACTTTCTCTTGGCTATAGCACTTTCCGGTTTAGCTGCAGCAAATCAGAATTTTGATTTAATTTTCCCTCGTGTTTTTTTTTCCTCCAGAATGACAATTTCTATTGACTACAGGATCTCCTTGTTTAGCTACAAGTCAGAATGTTGGTTTAATATCCGCTTGCTTTTTAAAATGTTTCTGTTGGAATGATGATTTCTTTTGGATCTAAGTGCTCTAAACTTGTATGTGTCGTTTTTTCACTCTGGTATTACACTCTTAAATTTCATAACACTGAATTTGGTACTCTCTGGGTGATCACAGCCCACTAGTCCTGGAAGCATAAATACCCAAGTTAAGGGAGTGCAGAAGGCTTTGCCTCCAGCATCAGCTCAAATTCTTGTGTCCTCCTAGCTTGACTATTAAGGGATGGAGCCACATTTTCTCGGCCTTAAGAAGGACATCCCGGTTTCCCCAGAGGGGAGGTTGCCTGAGCCAACCTCCCTCTATTCTGAACACAGGTGACTATGGGCTATGGCCTCTGCCTTTCGACCTTGTGCTAGGAGAGTACTGTTCAAACAGCAGTAATTTGGAACTATTTTCCAGTCCTTCTTGGTGGCTGAGCTGGGTATACATGCAGAAAGGACGTTTTCCCAGAATTCAGATCACCCCCACACAAGGTGTAGTCTAGCCCACTGTGTTCCTCTCGTCCCAAAGGCCAGGGTCGCCCGGAGGAGAAGTGGACGGCTCAGGTGAAGCAGATAGCCTCAGGCTGCAGCAGCTTCCTTGGCTGGTCCGTCCCACCCTAGTGACACACAGCAGGACACTGAGACCTCGCAGTGCCCTCATCTTTCCAGTCCGAGCGCTGCCAGCTTTGCGACCACAATTCTGGGAGCCGCCAGCAGGATTTCTCGCGGCCCCTTGCGTGGGCTCGTGGCGTTTATTGTGCCCTGTTGCGGTGGCGTTGTCTGTCCATCTTTGGCGCTAAGCAGTCTTAGCATCAGGAGCGTTTTGGGATCCTCCTTTGGAAAGAAGTTTCAAATCGTCACCACCTGCAAAATAAAAATGCTTTATGATGTGCCTTCCGTGTTCGGTGTCAGTTTCTAGGTGTCTTTTTCCTGACTTTCCCCCAAATTAGCAGCGCCTGCGATTTCTACCCATTTTCCAGCCCTGTGGGGAACAGCACAAATGGCTTTTCTCTGCGGAATGAGATCCTAATTGGGGCAGACGCCAGTTAAGTCCTGCCTTGTGTTTCTTTGTTGCAGGAAGTCATAGTTCCGCCTGAGCAAGTCAGATTGTAAGTGAAAGTCCTTTCTCAACCAACCAGGATTTATGTAGTATTTCTGTAGCCTAAGAACACCCGTTTTTTGAATGTGCCTGCGATTTCTTCGTGGTAGCACGTTTCCATTCCGTGCTGCTTGCAATTTCTACCCTCCTGGGTCCGTGTAGGGGAACAGCCCAAATCCTGTTTCTCAGGGGAGTCAGTGCCCACTTAGAAGAAACAACGTTTAAGGCTTTCCTGCCTGGGCCTTCTTTGTGAAAAGTCATTTTTCAGAGCAAGAAATCGTGACTTATTTGAGATGTAGCCTGGAATTTCTTGTGCTAACAACACGGACTGTAAGCGTGCCTTCGATTTTTTTTGGTTGTAGCCGGTTTCAATTTAGTGGTGCTTATGATTTCTACCCTTCCTCGATCTATGCAGGCAAATAGTCTAATGATGTTGTAGGGGAATAAGAACGCACTTAAAGAAACCCGAGTTGATCTCTGCCTTGGGTTTCTTTGTCACAGAAAGTCATTGTTTAGCTGGGGCAAGTCAGGTTTGGAGTCTTATATGGCAGGAGGAGTGGTTTTCTTCAAAAAGATTCTCAGTTTCAAATCCTCTGCCAATGGAAAATAAAATGGCTTTAAGATGTGATTTCAGTGCTCAGTGTCAGTTTTTTAGTGTCTTTCCCCTGACTTTTTCCAATTTAGCAGCGCCTATGATCTCTCTCTCCCCATTCTCCACTGGTGTGAGGAATAGCCCACATGGAGTGTCTCAGCAGAATAAGACACTACCCAGGACAAATGCTGGGGTCCCGATCTGTTTCTTTCTTTCTTTCTTTCTTTTTTTTTTTGAGACAGAGTTTCACTTTTTCACCCTCAGTGCAGTGCCATGTCAGCGTCACAGGTCACAGCAACCTCCAGCTCTTGGGCTTAGGTGACTCTCTTGCTTCAGCCTCCCGAGTAGCTGGGACTACAGGTGCCCACCACAACACCTGGCTAGCCCTGTGTTTCTTTGTTCCTGGAAGTCTACCTGGGACTGGAAGCCAACAAAGTTTATCTGGGACACTGTCAGCTTGTAAGGGCAAAGTCCTTTCTCAGCCAACCATGTTATATAAATCCTGCGAGTTCTTGTCTGAATAATGTTTGGTTTAAGCTTGTCCCTGATTTCTTAGTCTCACCATCTCTCACTTTCCAGTTGCTGGGGATGTTTACCCCTCCTCCATTGTGTAAGGAAATAGCTCAAAGCTATTTCTCAGGGGAGTTAGTGTCCAGCAGAATAAGACAGCAATAAAGACAAACACCAGGTAAGCCTTGGCTGCCAATGGTTTCTTTTTGGAAAGAAATCACTGTTTAGCTGCAACAAGGCAGCATTTAACCTGTGAGGGGTTTCTCAGGAAATGAGGATTGTATCCTGCAAATCTAGTCCTAAAAATGCTGAGTTTAAGCATGCCTGGGGTTTATAGTTGTAGGAAATTATTTTCCTTGTTGAAATTTGCTATTTATTTGAGAAAGTCTTTTGAATTTAGTAAAAAAATGGCAATACGTGGCACATAGATTTATTCAAAATATTCACTAATCACCATAAATAGTTTCCAATCCTTTTTTTGAGAACTATTTTGAATTAATTCATATAGGTCAATCATTTTATTTAGGTTTTTAATCAAAAAACCTTAAGCTTTCACTCGGAGTTCCTAATTAACCCGAGGTAATTAGGGCTAACAGTCCTGAAGACATATAATGGGAGTTTTTCTTTCCTTTTTTTTTTTTTTTGAGACAAAGTCTGAGTTGCTCTGTGTACAGTGCCATCGTGTCATAGCACTACAGGTACCTGCCACCACGACTGCCCAGGAAAAACAAAGCTTTCAAAAACTCATTGTAGGCCAGGCATGGTGACTCATGGCTATAATCCTAGCACTCTAGAAGGCAGTGGCGGGTGGATCACCTGAGCTCTGGGGTTCCAGACGAGCCTTAGCCAAGTGAGACCCTGTCTCTACTAAAAGAGAGAAAGAGAGAGAGAGACACACAGAGAGAGAGAGAGAGAGAGAGAAAGTAGGGAGGTATCGTGGCAGGCACCTCTAGTTAAAGCTATTTAGGAGGCTGAGGCAGTCATATTGCTTGAGCCTAGCCTAGGAGTTTGAGGCTCCAGTAAGGTATAAGGATGCCATGTCAATGAACTCTAGCCAGGCAACACAGAGAGAACTTTTCTCAGAAGAAAAGAGAAAAACTTTGTTTAACTTGTACATTCTAATTGAGGGATTTTTATTTTTAAGCAGTTTTTGGTTGGGGCTGGGTTTGAACCCTCCACCCTCAGCATATGGGTCCAGCACCCTACTCCTTGAGCCACAGGTGCCGCTCTAATTGAGGGATTTCTTGGTCTTAGACTGGTAATCTGAAGTCTACCTGCCAGATACCACACATAGACACAAACAAAAATGACTATTAAATAGCATGTATAGAGGAGAACTAATCTGTGGTCTCTGTATGTTTTAGAGCAATAATGCCTAATTCTCATGGGGTTGCAATGCAGTGAAGGGCAGACACAGATATAGGGGCTTGGTAGACAGCATAAAGGGTACTGGTAGGACTCAGTGACCAGGTGGCATCAGCTGTGGGGCACCCAGACTAGGTGACCTCTTCAAGGCAATAATACACTGTGCACCTCTGATGGCTCCAACACTGATATCTGCAGCCCCTTCCTCCCCCAACCCATCTCCAGACCCAGAGTGCTGACTAACTATAAATTAGAATAAACATGGCTTGAAGTTATAACCACCTTATGAAAGAAAGATATCATATAACTTTAGAACCTATAAAAAACCATTTATAGGTAATATGATAATTAATTACATTATTGATGCTTTATAAGGATATAAAAATAACAAAATTTGGACAGCAGAACAATTCCTTAAGGAGATATCCCTGCTGCTCTCCAAAATTACTAACTTTTCTTTCTTTCTTTTTTATGTACCAGAATGTTTATTGCAGCCCAATTCATAATTGCTAAGTCATGGAAGAAGCCCAAGTGCCCATTGACCCATGAATGATGGATCAATAAATTGTGTTATATGTACACCATGGAATATTATGCAGCCTTAAAGAAAGATGGAGACTTTACCTCTTACATGTTTACTTGGATGGAGTTGGAACATATTCTTTTTTTTAAGGTCAAAATTAGCTGCTTTTATTGTGTTAGAAACAACTTTATGAAATGATTTACATCTCTACATTTGGGAAATTGCTTTGAATAGCTTAGCAAATAGCTATTGCATGGAAAAACATATGCATACTAGCTTTGCTACTTTTAGACTAGGTTCTTTTTATTGATCTCAGATGGCATCACTATAGCAACAGCAGCTTCTGGCAAGTGGAGAAACAGTAACAAAGTCTTATGCTGTGATTGATGGAACTATGCATTCCACCAATCTTACAACTTGCTTACAATCATTTTTCTGCTTATACTATCCTATTTCTTGTGGATGAACATCTAACAAAATGAGACAATTGTGCTGAAAACAAAATTAAAAACAAATGAGATATTCAACAGCACATCGAACAGTAAAGGCAATGGAAATTACAGCAAGGTCTTAATATCCAGCCCAAATGATGAATCCAAGGTTCTTCTAAGGGTGACCAGGCTAAGGACTGCACAAATTGCACAGTAAAACTACTGTACAATTAAGTATAAAAATTCCTCACTTCTCTAGGAGTGATTCTAGCTCCTCTTGCAAAGAGCTGAGCTGTTCCTTTTCTCGATCTTCCCTTTGTTTGAGTTCTTCTAGCACAGCCTGAAATCTGTTATTGAGAACTAGATTTTCCACTTTCATGATGAGATACTCGTATCGTTTTGCCCTGTCCTGGGTCTCTTGGAGCTTGCCTTTCACATTATCAATCTGTTTCTGAATCTCCATAACCAGCTGACTGGTTCCTTCCCTTTCTTGGTGATGTTTGTCTGATTCATTCAGCTTGTCTCGTGGCTGTCTTTCCAGATCTTCCTCAGTGTCAATGATGTTTCTATCTTCTTCATCTTCACTGCTACTGCTGAGGTTATTGAATATCTCCCACAGCTCAGCATGTTCTAATGAGGCATGGCCCTGCCTGTGACCAGACATTCCTGGAGAAGAGATATCAAGGCCTTGATTTTTTGTTTCTTTTGTTTCATCTTCAGCAATTATTTCCCACCGAATACTGACAGCTTCGGCATCTGCACTCAGCAACCGTTTCACTTCTTTTTCCACATCTAGAGATTCAAAGTACTTCTTTTTTGATGTCTTCCGGAATCTTCTTTTTCTGACATTTTTTAGAGGCAGAGTAATACCGTGATTCCAGATAAACTTCTTCTCTTTGTCCTTATCCTTTTCCTTACTTGCCTTTGGATCAGTCCTGGCAACTGGTTCCTCCACAGGGGGATAGAGATCACCATCAACTGAGCACACAAGCATCTGACAGACATCAGCTGTCTTGTAAAAGGTTTTTTTATCAATGGTTTTCAAACTTTCCATAACACAGGGAAGATCGACCAATTTTGAGGCCAATGGGACCCCGTCCACTCTGACGATTCCATGACGTCCATCAGGATGTAATTCAATTGTCAGTCTGTCCTTCAGGTTGACCTGATCAGACTGCAGTGCTCTCCTCACAGTAGAGGCATATTCTGGAGGTAGGCGTAGGATAAATTGGCTCTCTAGTTCACGAGGGGCATCATCTTTGCTCGTACTCATCTTAATTTCTTTGTGACTCACTTCTCCTCTATTAAACACTTGTTGCATTAAAAAGTTCCAGCTCCTGCAACAGTTCAAAAGATCAGTTTGTTATAAATGGAAATGTAATTACAAGGAGTTATAAATAGAACAGCAGAGAGGAGTCTATATTGTCTTAATTTTGAATTAAGTCCCAAGTCTTTTCTCTAAATACGCTGCAACTCAATACAGCCTTAATTGATACAAAGGCTCATTCAGAGTTACATTCGTTAAATCTATTAGATGCAATGCCAAGTTCCAACCTCTAGGTGCCGCTGCCAGACAACGCAGAGAGAGTTAGCTAGAGAGCAGGAAAGCAAATGGCGGCTCCTGCCGAACGATTTTCGGCACAGAAAATAAGGCCCAGCAGACACTCTCAATCCACAAACTTTCCCCGAACAAAGTTATTCAAAAAGCAAGGCGCAGTGAGCTCTCTTCGCCCCCAGTACTTACAATCCAGGGATGATTATAAAGTCGGCTTGCTCAGGGCGGAGAGAACTATACAGGCAGCCGCTCGTAGCAAAGCGGCCAGGCGCCAAACGTCTCCTTTTCGATTCCTTTGTTCTGGCTGCAACTTGGCAAAGTGATCCACTACCGACTAGCAATGAAAAGGCTCAGAATGGACACCGTGATCGCCGACACCCGCAGCACTGAGCGCCAGAGGGAGAAGCCCAAGAAGCCTCTGTACGGAGCTGCAAACTCCACACTGGAACTTATTCTTCTTAGCAGAGTTATCTCAAGAATGGACGAAAAAGTATCCAATGAACTTACTAACTTTTCTATTCACTAAAACAAAATTAATCCTCCATCCGCTTCTCTGTTGACGAACTTAAGTGATAGGCCCACAGACCACAACAGTACAATGTTCACCTAACCCAACTGCCTCTGCCGAAATTTGCGAGTATTAATCCCCTTGTGATTGGGTTTGAGATCCAATTTCCTCCCCGTGTGATTGGGTTTGGGATCCAACTTCCTCCCCATGTGATTGGGTTTGGGATCCAACTTCCTCCCCATGTGATTGGGTTTGGGATCCAACTTCCTC